TCGAGTGTAAGAAGCATGAAAGGATTTAATGATAGATTATAGAAGTTTTAGATTATACATTCGTATAAAATAATATTATAAATTATATAAGAAATTAATGAATAAAATATAAATGATAATATGTTATTTAGGATTAAAAAATTAAAATAATTTTATTTTATAATTTATTTATAATAAAAATTGAAAAAAATATTAAAATTAATAATAATATATATATAAATTATATTATTTTTTAAAATCTTTAAATTAAATAATTATTAAATAAAAATTATAAATTTTTTTTTTTAAATGAAAATAATATTATTAAATATTTTAATCTGATTTTTAAAATAATAAAAAATTTTATTACAATTCATAAAGAATTTTTTTATTTTATTCAAATAAAATAGAATATCTAACAAATTATAATATTATTACTATTACTATAAGCATAAAGCACTTAAAAACTAAAATTTATTCAAAAAATCATAGAGATTATATAACAAACAAATAAATCTGCTAAAATATAATGAGTTTAATTATATCCCAACTAAATAGTAGTACATAAGTAAAATGATAAAAAAAAAGATTTATAAATTTATAAATACAAAGAAAATTAGACAATTGAATTTTATTTTTTAAGTATAAAACAACTTTAAATTAAAAAAAATATTTTTTTATTTTTAAAAATTATTTAAAAAGAATGAGTTTATTAAATTTAATTTTAAAAAATAATATTTCAAAAAATGAAAGAAATAAAAAAAAAAAAAAAATTAAAATCAAATTTAAAATTACTTATTTAAAATAAAAATGATTAAAAAAAATAATAATTCTTAAAATTATCAAATTGTAATAAAATTTTATAAATAATATTTCATATAAATATAAGAAAAAACAAATATATAAAAAATTTTGTTCTAAAAAAAATATTATTTATATTCCAATATTCATTGAAAGTTTTTAAAGAAAAATAAGAACTTTTAAAATATTATTGGATATAAATTATATTTAAATTTGAATTTATATTAATATTTATATTTATATTAATATTTATAATTATATTTATATTTATATTTATATTTATATTTATATTTTTAATATTAAATAATTATAAAAATGTTGATAATAATAATAAATATAATAATATATTTTATTATTTTAATTAATTATTTTATATATTCATATATACTAATAATTAATTTTTTCTTTTTTTTCTTCTCTTTCAAATTTATCAAAATGTTTATTAAAAGTTTTCATCCATTCAATAGTATAATTCTTATTATAATCAAAAAAAATTTCTTACCCCTTTAAGATAATCTAATTTGCATTAAATCTTACATTATTTATTCCTTTACAAAAGACAATATCTACTTTTGCATTTGCCATACTACCACTATTATGATTTATAAATCTAGTTTTATTTCCATATCTAAAGCTATCTACATCTGTTTCTTTATTTAGCATAAATAAATAGCTTATTCCTTAAGGTTATTATACTTTTTATCTTATATTACCTTACTTTTCGTTTATAATTTCACCCACATAATTGCCTATATATTAATTTTTTAAAAAATCTTGCCCTGCATAAACCCCTAATCCATCACATACAAGACTTTTTCCTAATAAAAGTTTAGGTTTACAATTATAAAATATTTATGAATTAGAACAATAATAAAGATTCATTTTAAATTTCTAAATAGTACGCGCATTTCTCTAACAAAAACAACGACATAAATCAGGATCACATTCTCTATTATTTTTTCTACATAAACAATCTTTTTCATTTTTACAAGTCATATCATGATAGCAATTACACCCGTTCTTACTAAAAATTAAACAAAAGATAAATTATACTTATAAATATATATATATATATATATATATATATATATATATATATATATATATTATTACTTATTTTTTTTATATCTACAATAACATACACATCCACAATATTTCTCACATTCATGTATTTATTTACTAATAACATCTTCATATAAAATATTAATTTAAGTTTATTATTAATATAAACTATTATCCAAATTCTCATTTTACTAAAAACTACTGTTTATACTGATATTCGAATCTTCGAATTATAACTAATAATTGTTCTTTTATTATTAATCTTTTTATTTTTTATCAAGTATTTATATTTTATCAATTCTTTTCTTTATTTTCTCTATCAAATCCTAATTCCTATTGCATACACAGTTACTTTTTGAATCGCAAAGTCCTGCATGGAAGCAGGGAGTATAGTTATGCCTCAAAAGTCCTTAAAGTTAATTTAATTGCTCATTTATTAAATTTTTCTAACTAGGAATTTCAAGAAATTTTTTCTATATAAATTCATCTGTATATATAAAAGTATCATTTTCATTATTTTTCTATAAAATAAGCTTTTATCGACTTTCTTAATAAATATCCACTTCATGTTTAAAATCTTCATATTTATAAAAACCTTTAGCCTTTATATAATCATTTATTTCTTTGCATGTAACCCTATTATTATCTTTTAAGACAAAATTTATCAATTTAGTTATAAAGCAACAATTCAAAATAAAATAAGTTTCGCAAAAATATAAAAGTGAATTTAGCCATTTTCTCCTTTCTTAAAAAAAGTTGTTTAATAAAACATTTTTAGACTTTTTATTCCTAAAACACTAACTTTCTTCTATGCATTTAACCCTTGAAACATAATCAAAAGGTTCATTATTTTACAAAAATTCGATAATTCGATCTTAGTTAAGGTCATATTTGGGAATATTTTTATCATAAAAAGTTGACCAGATCTCATTTTTCTAGATATCCTAATCAGAATGTAGCATACAATTATATTAAATACATATTGGACATAAGAAATATGAAAACTTGAAAGGATTAATTTTTTATTTCTTTCTTTTTTCATCTTCTTCCCTTTTATTTTCCAAATAAAGCATATTTTATTCTTAAAAGACTTTCCACCATAATTAAGGAATCCTAAAGTCCGTATTTTGTGCGATTTTTTTTTAAAATATATTCATTATTTTAAAATTCATACCATATTATTATTAAATTTCCTTTATTATATTTTTTAATACATGTTATACTTATAAAGAAATAAAATTTTCTTTAAATTCATTTAATTCTTATTATATATATTTATAAATTAAAAATATAAAAATATATATATTTACTTTATATTTCATCTGAATTTTAAAGTCCTATTCGAGTTTAATCTATATATAAATATTTCGTTTTTTCATCGTAAAGTTCATTAATTTTCACATAATTATTTATAGCTTTATAGACTCCTCCGAAGTATATTTCGTCCCTTTCTTTTTAAATTCTATGCGCAATTTATGTTTATAAAGAACTGTTATATAATTCATGTAAAGAGTCTTCAAAAAAATTTATATTGTTGTTATTATTACTCTCAATTTATATATTATCCTATATATAATTATCATTTTCTTAATAAAGCTAAACTTGTGCTTATCGAAAAGCAAAATTATACTTTAAATACGCTTCACCTGTTATTTTTTAAAGCTTTTCTTTTATTTGATCTTCTTTTTCAAATAATTAGAAAAATTCAGTCTATTGCACAATTTATTCCTGATATTAAATCACATTTGTTTTCTACAAATTTCTATTCATTTTTTATGATTATATTTTAGTAGAAAAAAATATAAAATAATTTTTTTAGTTTATTTTAGTAAAAAATATATTATATGTATTTATATACAAATATATTTATTTTTTAATTTCAAACATTTTATTAATTATAAACAATTTAATTAAAAGTAGCCAATTTTTCAAGAACAAATGTTTATTTATTTTGAATTTCTCATATTAATGTAAATAAGCATTTTATCTAAACATTTGATTCGCTTGCATTTTCTTTAAATTTGATTCTCTATTTCTTCTATTATCTACAAACTCTATAAATAACTTTACGACGAATTACTAACTAAACACATTGACTTTTCTTATCTATTAAATTAATAACTATCTTTAAAGCATTTAGATTTTATTTAATTATTTCTATAAACTCCCTAATATTACTCAAAAGATTAAAAGTTTTACTTTTCAGCATCTTTTCTGCTCCATATAAACAAATTGAAAATTTATTTGATATTTTTTTTATTCCAATTAACGTTTTGTTCTTTTTAAGCAATGCAATTACCATTAATCATTCTAAAAAATTTTCGAATCTTCTCAAAATCGAGGTACTTATTAAATCCAATATTTTTAAGTTTGAATTACTCAACAAATTTTCATAAATTCCTTCAAAAATTTATACTAATTTTTGTAAAGTAAAAAAAGCGTTTTTATTAAGTAATCTGAAACATCATATTTAACAATTATTAATCATTTACCTTATTCATTTATATTAAAGAAGGATTTATTATATTTAATAAATTAAGTATATATTTACTATGTATCATAATTTTATATTAATATCAACCCATCTAAATGTTCATATAAGTTGTATATTATCAATACGCAATTATAACTTTATATAGTTACTTCCCGCCTATGAGGTCTACACAAATATTTAATTTTCGAATTTCTAGTCTATTTCTTACATAATATATGAATTTAGACAACCTGTACCTCCTGCTAAACTCGAGAAAATAAAAGGCCATCAAAATAACCTATTTTTAGAATTAAACTTTATACTTTTAGTGTATTTTTTATATTATTTCTACACCATGTACAATTAATTATTTCTAGATTATTCTTATATTACAAAACTATTCTTTTTATCAAATTCATATATTTTATTTATAGGTATTTGATAATATGATTAATATTTCTATTTACATATCTATTAATAAAGATTTGGCTATGTTTTTTGATGGGTTTGAGGGATTTTATAAAGAAAATATGTAAAATGGTAGCTTGAAGAGCTTGAGAATATTCTGGAAAATTTTTAAATATAAAATTATAATATTCATATGCTGTTTGATTACGTTATTAACCTAATTAAATATCTATTATTGATATTATTTTTTTAAAGAAAATTTATTAAAAAAATTAATTTAAAAAAATATAATAATATAAGATATAATAAATAAATAAATGTATTAAAGAAAGAAAATTAAAATTAAAATTATATATAAATAAAATAATATGATAGTAGACATAAATATAAAAAAAAAAAAATTATAATAATAAAATTAAATCATAATAAAATATTTAATATTCTTTTATATATAAAAATATATTAATATATAAAAAAAATAGAAAAAAAAACTAATCTTTTAAAATATATTTAAAATAAAAATAAAATAGATATTTATTTTATTTAAAATAATTATAAAAAAATTATAATAAATATTATAAAATTAATAACAAAACTAAAACATAATGTCTATTAAATTAAATATATATTATTATATTATATAAAAAAAATGATAAAAGCATTTTTTAAATAATAATATAAATAATTTTTATTTTATTATAATAATAATAAAATATATATATATATATATATATATATATATAAACTTATTTTAATATAAATATTAATATTAATTATAATATTTATTATTTTTTAAATATTATTTTATTCAATAATTTATAAAATTACATATATATTTACTATTTTTATAATATATAAGAATACATTTATATTTACAATTTTTATGCATGTAATTAAAATAATTTAAAATTTATATTATTTTTTTTATAAATATTTTTCTTTTTTTGAATCAATTACTTTATTTTGTTTTTTATATATTTACATTTTTTATTTTACTTTGATTTATTTCCAATAAATAAAAAAAAAATTATTTCTTTTTATGTAAATCTGTTTATGTTAATGGGCTGAACATCTAATAATTTAAAATATATATTTATGAGTTAAATTTTTTTGTTAAATATTTACCATATTAAGTTATTCTAATATATAATAATTAGTAAAATTTTATAATAAAATAAGAAAATAATTATCTTCTTAATTTAATAAATTTTATACAATACGAAATTGTAATTTTTTTTTTTAATTTAAATAAATAAATATATAAATCGTTTTATATTTTTTATTTTAATCTTTATTTATAAGTTATTGAATATGTTAATAATAATTTTAGAAAAAAAATTAACTTTTTAATTTAAAAATTCTTATATAAAAATTATTTTGAAGTATAGTATATTTATTTGAATAAAAACTTTTATAATATAGATTTTATTAATTAAAAAAATATAATTAGATTCTATATTAGTGAAATCTTAAAAAAATAATTATTATTATAAAATAAAAACTATATTTTAATAATTTAATATTTATTTGTTAAATTTATTATATTATTATATAACTTTTTTTTTAAATCAAAATATAATTTTTAGAATTTTTTTTTTTTTTTTAAACTTATATCTTATATTATATTTAAAACAAAATAAATTTTAAATAGTGAAATAAAATTTTATGTTTTTATATAAAAATTAAAAGTTCTGATTATCATTTATTTATTTTTTATTTCAATTACAAAATATAAAGTAAAATTTGATAAAAGTATCAATACATAATAAAGGATAATTAAATTATTTTAAAGATAATATTAAATAATTTAAAAAATATAATAGATAATTTTTTTAAAAAAAAATTATATTAATTTATTATAAAACCTGATTTATTAATTTGATACATAAATTTTTAATCTATTAAATAAGGTAAATATTTTATTTATTTTGATAATAAATAAAATAAAATAAATTTATATATGATATGTATTTAATAATTAGATAAATAAAATTCTTATTAAATAAAAATAAAATATAACGAATGAAGGTTAATAAATAATTAATGCTATTAATTTTATTAGTTTTTGCTATCTAAAAAATAAATGCATTTGCATTCACATATCCACTAAAAATATATTACGATTGGTTCGACATTACCGAATATTCAGCCATAATAATAAGGCCGATCTTGTAAAATAATGACTAATATTACTATTATTGTAAATTAAACGACGATGGTTATATTATAAAGTAAATAATTCTAGATGGTATGAAAAATAGTATATACTATAATAACTATATAATTGAAACAAAATTAGGTCGTCCAAAATTATTTATAATAAACCGAATTTAGCATAATTACTAAGTAATAGACTTAATGGACCTTGAAAATTTACAAAATAATAGTAAATACGAAATGCCTAATCCAAAACCTATTTCTATATCAGATTACAATATAAGAGATTCTATTTTTATTGATGTTGATAAAAGTTAAACAATAATATACAGTAATAAATATTTTGCCTTTTATCCGACTCCATTTTTCGATGATAATTGTGACTAAGTCCCAATTCAAAAAGATCAAGTTGTTAAAGTATCAGGATTTTGTGAAGCAAAAGAAATTATTGTTTTCTATGATTAATATCAGATAAATGCGATTATGATTTATAAGCAGCAATAATACTATATGTCTTAATTTCCATCAAGTAGGTGCTTTTTAAAAATTGATGATGATATTGTCCTTACTATATAAGGAAAGAATGATAATAGACATGTACATTTGGCTGAACTTACCTATTCTGGAAATATTGTTACTGTGAATACGAGAGTGAATCTATTCACATAAGATTTTTTTGTGTGTAATAATATTTACGATTTTGGAATTGGGAAAAAAATAACTTGCTTGGGGAATAATGGGTTTTGGGAATTTTACGATTTAATAACTTTTACGAAAGTATCTATGACACCAGATAGTTCGTCAATTGCATTAAAAGATTACAATTAAGTTTTTTGTTATAAATCTGTTATTATTTTTGGAAATATTTTTTATGATATATCTTACGATTCAACTCTATAAAATGTTCGATTAATCAAAAGAAAATATTAAAAATATAAATATTACACGCTTGCTGTATAAAACTATTTTGAAAGAATGTCATTTTAAAAAGGACAAATCTTATTAGTTGATGATAAAAATTATTAAGATGACTATTTCTATTTATAATCGGCCGAAAGTATAATTTGTAAAGATACTGAATTTATGAATAGTAGTCTTAAATGTGTTTAATGCGGAAGTTATGAGGTTTTTAAAAATGACATATGTGTAGATTGTCCATAAGGGACTTTTAAAAAAAATATTCAAGATAAAATATGTACTGCATGTATGAAAGGATGTATATTATGCACTAAATAAACTACTTGCACTAAATGTGATAAAGGTTTCCATATAAATAATAAGGACGAATGTAGTGTTGATTGTAAAACTTACGAAAAAGATTCTATGGATATATGTACTTCTTGTGATTCACCTTACTTTTTATAAACAAAAGACAAGACATGTGTAGATGCTTGTGATAGTAATTAATATATAGATATTACTGATATTACTATACCTAAATGTAGTGATTGTAACATTGCATGTCTTACATGCGCAGATGCAATGCTTTGTAAAACTTGTGCAGATGGAAAATTTTTAAATACGAATACTTTGTTGTGTGAAGCATGTGATACCT